GCCGAGTGGTCTAAGGCGCCAGCTTCAGGTGCTGGTCACGAAAGTGGCGTGGGTTCGAGTCCCACTCTGATCAATTCATTTTTTGCCGTTTATTTAAATTTTTGGTGTTACTCGAGATCTCATTTACCACCACCGTCGCAGTTTGCGACTTTGTTAGTTCTTTTTTACTTCTGGTAAATATTGATTTATTTTTTAATTGTTATTCACCTAGTGAGATTGTCATATATGATTACAGCGTAAAAATAAATTCTCTTTGATTTATTCTTCCTGCTTGAATTTCTGAAACCACAGGCACATATCTGTCTGTAAGAGTACTTATCCACGCCACTTTCATAACCAGCAACCGAAGCTGGCGCCTTAGACCACTCGGCCATCTGACCCTCAGTTTTGGACTAACTCCAATACTTGTTGATATTAGGTCCTCAGAATGTGCATCTATATACGAAATGCCTATTAGCGTCATTTAATTAGAGCCCGCTTAAATAAAAAGCGTCTCTCTAGCCCCGACCTCTAACGTCTCTCCTCAAACGTCACGGGACTCACCGAGAGGAAACTGGTCTTATCTACACCGGGTAATTTACTGTGCTTTCTATCATGATATTCTAATAAAACTGCTTAAAGGTTGTGTCAAAAAATGCTAGATGCTGATGGTTTCTGTCTCTAGCCGCCCTCAAGGGTGATTTGTAAGAAGTTGCAATGATAGTGTTATGATCTACTCTACTGAGTTACCACTCTGTTAAAATGTTACAAGTATAATACCGGGAACCAAATGTTTTAGTTTGGTTTTTATTTTTTGTCCGATTCTTCTATTACATTCCGCCCCATAGAAGGCTATAAATTCCGAGCCAATCATGCTCCCGAGAATATTTGGTTCCTGGCACATCATACTATTTTCGTTTTATTGGATTTTTAACTTTATCTCATATATGACAATAGCGACAGAAGCAGACGACGGTTTATCGGTGGTTTGGCAGGATTTGGAGGTGGCGCCGGTCGAACTACGGCTTGACCCGACTTTGATATGCGGTCAAGCGTTTCGCTGGAAAAGCACGGGGCCAAATGAATGGACGTGCGCAATCTTTGGACACGTAGTTGATCTAAAACAAACAAGCACTAGCGTTCTATTCCGCTCGCTAGGCCAACTACACACAGCCAGCGAAACCAACGACAACCTGAAATCGCTTTTATGCGACTACTTCCAGCTCCACGTCAGTTTGCAGGGGCTCTGCGAGCAATGGATCAAAGTAGATCCAGAGTTCAAGGGCCTAGCGCAGACACAAACAGGAGTGCGCATATTGAGACAACCGGTAGTGGAGAACCTGTTTACGTTTATTGCGTCGTCCAACAATAACATCAAGAGAATTACGATGCTAGTGGACAAGCTGTGCAGCAGGTACGGTGAACAGATCGAGACTGAAAAGGGTGCGTTCTTTACATTTCCTAGCGTTCAGATGATTGCGCGGGACCCGGCGGTGGAGCAGACGATGAAAGAGTTGGGGTTCGGGTATCGAGCCAAATACTATGCCAAAACTATCGAGTGTTTGGTGAAATTGGGAGACGAATATCTAGAAAACCTCCGTCATGTATCAGTGGACGTTGCCAGGGCCGGGTTGTTAAAGCTATCGGGTGTTGGACCCAAAGTCGCGGATTGTGTCTTGTTAATGTCGTTGGATAAGGCGGACGCTGTGCCCGTGGATACGCATATATGGCAAGTTGCGCAAAAACGCTATGTTGGCAGATTGGCTGGTTCGAAGAGCGAGTCAGCTGGCATGTGTCTGCCGCCAGAAAAGCAAGAACAGATCTGTGAGCTTGCTCGCCAGCTCGGCGCTTTCAACTCTCCGTCGACAAAGGCGTACGAGTTGGCCCAGGCGCTCATTGTCACGCTGTTCACCCCGTACGCCGGCTGGGCTCAAGGCATGCTGTTCTCTGACGATTTGGTGGACAGCGTAGCAGCCACTGCGGTTAATCCAAAAACGAAGCCAAAAGCAAAGCCAAAGTCGACGTCAGCCAAACGCAAGGCTGAAAGTTTACCAGTAGTTCCAAAGCAAGAGCAAACAACTGAACCAGCAGCAAAAAGAGCGGGCCTGCGTCCACGACCAACGAGCCCGATATCCTATACACCCAGTCTATAGTCGTTCTTTTGCCTCAGCCAACCTCCTGATTACCCCAGCCTGGCGCCCCATCTGTTAACGAGGTCAACAATTGCCTCGGATGTATTTTCTGATAGACCCACGGAAACTCCCTTATGCGAATAGGCCACCACCATTACTGTATGCGGAGGGCCGTCGCCAAATTTTATAGACATGGTATGGGCACCACGTACTACTGTTTCAAAGAGATCCGACTTGGATTCATTCATAGCAACCAGAACAATAATGTCACCATTATCGCCACTATTGCACAGATTCTTCAATCCTTGAGTTCTCTCATCACCCAAGTCCTCAGCATAGTAGCATACAAGCACGTATTCGCCCCACGGCAAAGCTCTGTAACATGTTTGTGAATATCCTCAGTAGAGCTGATAGTATCATCCTTGACGACTGTGGCAGGCATATATGGTGTAAAAGCCGATAAGCTGACAGGTAATTGTTTAGGGAAATAATTAGAAAAGTAGGCGTGGTGAAGAGAATAAAGAGAATTGTGTTTTCAAATGACGCCTTTTCCAATTTATACACACTTCTGCTGCTTGACTGGAGTGGTCACGATAGCATCACTCAAAGGGGTTTCTTTGGAAATCGTGGGCAAGTGCTCTTTTGAAGAGGGACTTCATAAAAAGCGTGCACACTCTTTCAAACTACATAACATTTTTCTCGTCAGATGATGCATGACTGGAGGGATATGTACTTCAGTGCATTAGAAGAATTGTCAAAGAACTAGCAGACCTTGCGTATTGTCAAGTGTGCGAGGGCCACATATACCATCCCCAAATAATGGGGCGTTTCAATTCTCAGAGTCACTAAGTTTTAGTTAGTGAACTGATTTTGTGAAAAGCCATTTCAATCCCTCATCATGTTGATATCTGCTTTGCAATACAGAGTGACAAAAAGAATACACTTTTCCATGTCAAAAAGGCACTGTTTTTTATGCAGGCTGTCACTAAGTTTTTAGATTGGTTTAGTGAATTTTCACTAAGTGCCGGATAGTGACAACTTAGTGAATAATTGAAACGCCCCAATATTCAAGAGGTTCTCATTTGTTGTTGACTGTTTATTAGTACCAACAAAACATACAACTATAAAATTAAAATGGCATGCTCAGACATGTTATAGTAGGTACTTGGGGTGTTTTCCAACCAAGTATAGACCTTGAATACCTCGAATGAGGTTTAGTGTAAATTATGATATCTATATGGTTGTTCTCGAACAATGAAGCATGGGTTTACTTGCAAACCAAAAAGATTTCTCTCAACAAAGAGATTGAATGGATAATTCACAAATGCTGATAGTCTTGTGATGCAGATGCTAGCTAGAGCGTTTAATATGTAACTGGCTAACACCTTCTTTGTTGTAATGCACAAGTATAATATTGTTCTTAGGGCCAAGACATTGATCCTTAGTATTCTTTATTTCCTTAATGAATTCTGAATTGGCATCATTTATAACCGCCAAGATAAAAACTTTATCATCATCATCATCATCATCAAATATATCTACAAGTTCACACATCATATCAACACCTCTTTGGTGATCGATAGTGAGGGTCATCCTAGAACCTAAAATTATCAACTAACTATTCAGCTGTGGAGATAATATCTGGTAGTCAGATTACTCA